TATATTGTCTAATTGGCCAAAAGGTGGCCTGAACATTTTGATGGAGAGATTCGAATGTTGCCGTTTATAATGACGAGTCACGTTCTTGTCCATGATGTGGAGTTTAAAGCTGTTTGGTCACGGGCATCGGTGGAAAATTTTAAGCAGTTATGCCAATAGCATTAAGCGGGATATTAACCTGCGACCCTGAAATACGGATCGGCCCTATGTTCCCCAGTCCCTTTGTTCCCTGGCTTAGGGTTAGGGTTAGGGTGAAATTTTGGATGAACATTGACCATATTACTGGATTTATAAATGGGATCGCTCTGTGGGGAACATTATGGGAACTGGGGAACATAGGGACTAGGGAACATAGGTATACGCACCCCTGAAATACCATAGATGTGCTTCACTAACTGAGCTGCCCTGCCCTAAATCTTAAGTCAGATTTGAATAGAAAGCTCGCCGACAACCTCACACATAACTATAGGCTTTTAGGAAAGGACGCATATCATGCACACTCAGTCAGAATCTCTTTGTCAAGATTTGATAAATAAATCATCGGCAAAATCGTGTAGCCAAAAGCTTTAATCGACGTGTTCCGTATTGAAGCCAGCTATAGTATTTTGACTATGTTGCTTAAAGAGTGCATGGTTGTAGTCGCAGTGCATTGATCTTTTCTCATCATCAGGTGCTTGTTGGAAGATACTTCAGCTGTGTAGTTGGCCTGTAGCCAACTACCCACATCGCTTCCCTGAACAGTGAATGGTCTGTATTATTCAGTGAACTGCTGATTTTAATAAAAGAAAATAAAGGAAAATTCCAACAAGATTCTTTACGAACCCGTACAAGAAGACCCGATAATTATATTCGAATTCAACAGCTGCTATTCTCTGTAAACGGAAAGTCGAATGTTAGATTAAATCTTCAACAATTGCGGACTTTTTTTGTCAAGTCGTCGCCATCACTTCATGTAGTGGGCGTACCTCCACATTTTTAACTAGCTTTCTGCATGGCGTGCAGGATCTAGTTATTTTCCTCACATCTCCCACTCGTGTTTGCCATTCATCAAACTTGTGCCGGATAAGTTCAATCCTATGACCTGTGTACATACAATGACAGCCTCCTGAAAAATAATCATCCATTACACCCTTAACAGGTTTTTGTCATTGCCCACCGTCGCCATTCGTACGCGTACCTAGCAATTAAGACGCGAAGACCCGTAACCTACAGCCATTGTATTTTCGCTAACGAGATGCGCGGTGAATAACAACACTCGACAAAAGAGTCTTTTGTTCGAGGTTTTGGAGAAAATCGAAATCCGATTATAATCTGTCGGTTCTTAATGCCTTCCAGAGGATGGGTGTGAACGGTCACTGCGACTGATATTAAATTAATCGACGTCTGCGCCTCAGTGTCAAAGTGTCTACGTGTCCTGAAAATGTCACCTTCAATCTAAAGCGGAGGTTGGCCAGGTGCGGTTGTAGAGCCTCTATTTTAGGGGGCTAGCAGGGGTGGATCCAGAGGCGTGCTGAAATGTAGACGTTTTTTTTTTCTCCGGACACATAGGCCTCCGACAATGAAGGGGTGGGGGGTTTCGTATGGCATATTTTCCACGGGGAGCGCTGATAAAATCCTACAATCATGCACACTATATTACCTTATAGTGTACAAATGCCCCCTTCTCACGACTATTTTTTTTAGGAGGGGGATTGACAAAATTGTTGGGCATAGCTCCCCCCCCCTCCCGAACCGCGCCTGACTGGTTGGCAAAGGATACATAAGGGGTTTATTCATTTATTAATTCTAATTTTAAGTGGGTATAGCCAACTTAGTGGGATCCATTTGTCTCCCATAGGCCCAGTAAAGAGAAGACAATGTGAAGAAATAGAGTAAAACCCCAGAAGAATATTTCGGGGAAAAACAGACGGAATCTGGCAGGGACTGAAAACCCAAATCCACGTATTGGAAAGCGAGGAAGGTAGGCCTACCTCTACGCCAATTTTCTTGAAATACACTGTACAGTTTGTTTTAGCAGTTAATGTGCATCATAGGAAAAAGCGGGATGTATCGTACGAAATATTACAGCAATGTTTTTGAGGAAGCGATGGTTTTTCGTTCTCCGAACACAATTACTCAGGTGTGCTATCGGCAAACATTTCAACATTATGATCAAAATGTGAAGAACAGTTTTTATTTTTGATTCAAGTGTACTTGTTAAGTCGATTCCCAGAACTACGGTATTAATTCCTTGTGTTTGCTACAACGGATACATTCATTTACAGGTCAAGAGACTCTCACAAATCGACCTGAGGCATTTTGGGCAATTCAAGCACAAAGGCACAATATTTTGCAGCCTAAGGTATTATTCTGGGTAATATTCCCGTCATCACAAACCCCTGTAGCCCGGAGTGGATGTACACTGACAAGAGAAGCGGTAATTCCGAACACGGGTTCACCTTGGCGTAACAAACCCCAATCACCTCGGCCAAAATACAATCCGTAAATTGAAAACCAGAAGAGGGAGAAAAAAAACCTCTCCTTCCCTCGTTAAGCGTGTTCTTATGCAGGTCCCCCAAAAACATTTACCCTCGCATCCGGTGTCGTATTGATTTCCGAGATGATGTTTTCTCTGAGTCACTGAGGTATCCTTCCACCGCGGGCGATATTCGTCAAAACCAGTGGCCGGTGATTGCCAAACTCGTTAAAAAAAGCTAGCTCGGGGTTTCTTGCCAATCGGGTGTATGATTACTGGAGCCGTTCCTCCGTCACTTTCCCTCGAATTCACCTCCGTGCCTCTCGAAGATGGAATAACATGACGCGATTGCTGCGAATTTCGACAGAGAAACCGCTGGGTAGAAACCTGTTTGCTCTGCACTGACTTGTAAAATACCTATACCTGCAATGCAATGCAGTTAAATAGGGTAGAGAGGTCGCTTGGTGGGGTTTCTGGGGCAGACAAAATTTCCAGTCCTTTCAGTTAACGTCTATCGAAAGCGGAACCCGCTTAGCAGCACACGCTCCACATTCATCCATACTTAGAAGCAAAAGACATTTCCGGAGGCTTAGTGCTTTGTCAGGATTGCGTGCAGGCCTTTCAATGTCTATCGGAATTAACAAACAAGAATAATGTGAGCAACTAGGTCATTTGTTGGAATAGAAATGCACTGCCCCAATTCCAGTATTGTATTCGACATCGTTTAGGAACACATTTTGGTCACGAAGAAGGGATCGAGAGTAAGGTACAACCTCGATAATGCTTTTAGATGGCGCAAAACTGTTTCAACGTGTGGAGGAGTTAATTATTTTGGGAACAAATGTTATCTCCAGTTAAATTCTGACTTCGTGTTGCCAACAGCGCTATAGTTGCCATTAAACAAACAACAGTATACGAGGTATTGACGAATTTCAAAATGTACTGAAACCGAGGTCCCTACTGTTGTCTTTTGTTGAGACGGTTTAAAACAGGTCCTCATTTCATACAATGGTTTAGGACTGAGATCCTCGATTACCCAGCCATGCACACGCAAGGCTGAATCGAAGGTGCATTATTTTACCAACCAAGGTAGATCAGTTCATTTTTGGTATAGGCAACATTGCTGCACCCGGACAATATCCAAAGGCAATGTAGGAGAACATTCAGAATAATCACAGTGTGTAACTCATGCAATAATGCAAGTGTTTGGAACTCACCAAATTCGGATTGTTGTCATTTGCAAAGTCATATAGAGGCATTTTATTATTTATTTTAAGCCGCAACAAATGATGATTAATGTACAAATTGTAGGAATTTATATGATTTACTGTGAACTTGGTTCCCAAGTATTAAGTTGAAAAACGATGTAAAAATTCAGACTCCGGGAGATTTTATATTTTGTCTTTTTTGTAGTCTATATGACATTTTTTTTTTAAAGAACTGCTTCGTATCTAAAAATTCATACATATTGGAGCGGAATTTTTTTTCAGACGATCACAAACGACTTTCCCGTTAACAGAAATCTCGTTAGGCGTCACTAGACCCATGCAACATTAATTGTTTCTGTAACTGAGGAGAATATAATAACAAACAATACGGGAATTTTACGACCTGATTGCTCTATTACCATCAAACAATTAAAAGCTGCTACGATAATATTAATGGCATGTGGTCCACTTCAACTAAACACTGTCGCCCGGTTCTCAGTTAAACCGTCTGCTCTTGAGAATAAAAGCCCGCGTTAATTGTATATGACGTGCTTGGCAACGGCGGAATGACAAGAGACATCACGTGACATCTGAATAATTACTTAGGCTACTATAACATTTCGAATATCAGGTGTTTTATTTGCCACTCTTGTTTGAATTTCTTGGCGAATAAACAGACATTTTCATGGAGGTTTAATTGACGAATACCGCCATGTATTTTTAGCATCAGTTGAATGAAGAAGAAAAATTGTTTCGGCTGATATTAGTATAGGCACTATTGGTTTAATTTAATGTTTGCATGCGGCCTGGATCTCAAGATTTAAAACCAGACACCGCATGTGATTAATTGATACCCAATTCCCGACTGTTGTCGTAAATATGGAGACGCATCGTATGGCTTGGACCTCCCAATTGATATGATGTGATATCTTTGTCTTCTTTGCATGATTCCAGTTAGCAATAAGACCAACAGTATTGGCTTGGGTGATTCGCTTTCGATAACTCGATTTCCTCTGGTGGGGTCGATTCTGTTTCTTCTTTCACATAGTTCATTTGCACAGAGGGAGAAAACAGGCTGTGAGTTGTGAAGCGACTCATCCACACTTATATGAACGGTATCCGCGTACAAATCTTTGGCTACAGGCAGGTCTGCCTGGTGGCGCCCTCTGTCTCGATTTCCGACCGTTTGGTCGATGCTGATTGGCGGTGCCGATACTGATGAGATTTCTCCAGTGTTCCCGTGCCGTTCATCGCCACGGAGTGATTGCGTCTCTTCTGGCGCGGTGATTAAAGTATATCAGCGGCGTTCAGCACATCAGTTAGTCTTGGGCGGCAAGTGGAAAGTGAGCAAGCTGATGGTGGTGTGTGAAACTGCACTCTAACAGAAAAGATATTTCCACATTGGGTACTCTGTGAAAAATAGCTTCACGCCTTCCATGCAGCTTCCTTGAGACGTACGTCAAAAGGACTTGAGGTACCCCGCAAGCGGTACATTAACAGCGTGTATTCGCCTCATCACTCGAGCTTCGAATTGAGACGTGAGCACCGTAAGCGTTACCCCACCGGATTTGTCCTGAGATGCTGGGGGAAAACGCCTTCACGGATCCCGCTACCTACTCCGCCGTGCCCGGTATGTATTCTCTATTGACGTCCACGCCTATCCCGGGGAGCATGGATGGGTTGATTGGAAACGGAAGTTTCACCGCGTCTTACGGGGATGGGAACGGGACGGGCAATGTTAACGACGACCCTGCTGAACAGGTCCATAACCTTGTGTTTCAGAGATATGTGATTCCGGTCTTCTACAGTTTGGTATTCCTCACAGGCATCATCGGAAACGGGCTCGTCATTATCGTGCTGCTGAAATACCCCAACATGCGGACCATACCCAACGTGTACATTCTCAGTCTGGCTCTGGTGGACTTCATGTTTGTCCTTTGCCTACCTCTGCAGGGCTACCAAATCTTCGCCAATAACTGGCCCTTCGGTTACGTCATTTGCAAGTTTGCTGGCATCGTAGACGGTATGAACCAATTTGCGTCCATCAACATCCTGACGATCATGAGCGCTGACCGGTACGTGGCGGTGGTGTACCCGCTGTCTTCGATGCGTTATCGTACCAAGAAGACGGCCCGTATAGCCTGCGGGATCGTGTTCGCGGTATCGTTTCTTCTCAGCACGCCCACTTGGCACTTTACCACCACCACATCTTTCCCAGCCGCGAACGTTACCTACTGCTCGGTCCAGGGTGCTGAGTGGGACCCAGAAGGATTCTTCTACGTCATGTACATGTTCTTGGTGGGCTTTCTCATACCCCTTGTAGTCATCATCATGTGCTACTCCACCCTGCTATTGAAGATTCTCGGGAGCAAACTTCGCATCCGTTCGGACGGGACGGGTACCGCTCAGCGCGCCTCCAAGCGAGTCCTGATCCTGACTGTGTCCGTAATCGTAGCCTTCGTGGCCTGCTGGCTACCTTTCAACGTCGTCTCGCTCCTGCACCACTTCACGCCCGTCCAGACCCACGCTCTGGCCATGGCCTTCAACATCACCTCCTGCTGGTGCTACACCAACAGCGGCTTTAACCCAATCATCTACACGTTCATCGGAGAAAACTTCAAAAAGAACCTGATGAATATGTGTCCGTGTTGCACCTCGCCAGAGGACACCAAACTGGACCGGTACCGATCGAACAGGGAGAGCAGCACCTACATTCGAGGGGGAACCCTTCGACTTCATTCCGTACAGCATGATACAGCTAGTCCGACCACGCCCTGCACCGCTACCACTGATGACACGTCCTTCATGGACTCACCACCAAACATATACGTCCAGACGTACACCTTCGCCAACAACAATTCCCACAACGCCTGTAATAAAGAGTAGTCTTTCTGGCGGTCGTTTTTATCCACTGTAAACCAAATGGATTGGGAAGAGAGTAGCAGGTACACTAAAAAAAACTGTTTCTTAACAAAAAAATGTACCCACATTTTTTGTGCATGCATGTTTCACATTTTGTTTCGCAAGAGTCTACGACATGTTTAGACTTATGGATGTCTGTGACATGTCACGACAAAAGCCTGTTAGTACTATTGAGTATAAAAAAGTAAAGTAAATAAAAATGACTTATCGGGTTGAAGTTGAATGACAGGCTAAATACACACTGTTATCACTCTTTTTTATCATCTGTCTCAGAATAACGAACATTAAAATATAAATTTGACTTTTAATATAAGTTACTATTGATGGCACTAACAGGCTTTCATACTGTGCAAAAAAAATATCTAAACATGTCTTAGGCTAAATATGTGGGAAAAAAGCGTACGGTAAAAAAAGTGTTGAAGCTCCAAGTACCATTTTTACAGTTTACATAATTTCATTAATGATTATTAAGAAAAGAACAGACGAATATGTTTCAGGTTTCAGGTTTCCTACAATCCATAAACACGGCCGTTCGAGTCGTTAAACCAGTCAGATTTTCAGTTGTGGTAGTAATATGGATTGTATAGGATGATAATAGACTCATCTGGTTCTGAAATAATCAACTGCTCTAAATACTATCTTTACTATCCTCATATAGTGCTTCGAACATATTTTGAATTAATCTGTATAGTAATCGTTTCTGTTCACGGCTTTTACTGTTCTGGAACGCTTCAGTATACAATTACCACTGTAGCACTCAGTGTAGGGTTTACATACAATCATCGTTTCAACACATTGAAAGATGGTCCAAAAAGACATAATTATTTCATGTTCCACGTGAAGTACCTAAAACGTCAATCTGTCGTTGCGCTTTTCAAAGCGAGTGAAATTCATTGCACTTGGTCGACTTTGTATACGCAAGCTGCAATAAATAATTCAAAACCACAGTACTAACTGCCGGTCCCTGCAGTTTATCAGCGTGAATGCTTTGATCCGTTTTGCCTACAAAAAATGCAGATTTCTGCGGTGTTATTTTGTCACTGAAGCCATTTATAAGAAACGCCACTCTTACGGCATTGAAACATTAGTGTTGCACAGCTTTGTCACACATTCAGACAAAAAACCCCACAAATTTAATGTCACTTTCTTTGTATAAATAGTTTCTGTGACGTCAACTGTCCTGTCCCTGTTAAATGCATTTGTAGAGTTATGTCACAGGATGAAAAAATACCGCTTTTTGTCATCTTGTTGGCTTTAACGGATGATCGAGTGGAGATCTATTAAAAACAAACAGCTGGTGAAAAAAATGTATTTTTTAGGCCATAAATATTTTAGTTAGGGAAGATGTCTGGTGGATTTCGCATTTGTCAAGCATTTTTGCCTTGTAATAGTTTCCAGTCAGTGCAATTCTGATTTGTTTTTCTTACCGTGTGAGCCTTTCTTGGGGCCATGTGATAAGATTGGGACATTATACCAGTGTTTTATATGGATGTAGATATGCCCGAATCATTTTACGTCAGTAAACAAGCACAGTATGTTTTTATAATGTTCGGTAAGCAACAGAAATTAAAAAGAAAGTAGTTTAATCATGTAAAAATGTTCAGATTAAATATATATGATTGCAATGTGGCACAGTCAAAAAGCATACGAATTTGCGCCGTTTTGATACAAAATCAATGTACGAGTATTCTGAGATATAGGCTAAGCTGTTGCAAAATCTACGTTATGCCGTTAAGTACAATATATCCCACGCATGAGCCAATGATTTGGGTTTTTTTCCTTTCCAGACGAAAATGTACATAAGAGCCTGGATTGGCACACTTTCCATTATCCGTGCCGTTTTCGATTCCCCTAAATGGTCTAGACGACACTGGCCTAGTTGAACGCAATGTGTTCGTGTATTCAAGGCAAATTTAAACCCTGGGAGTAAAAATTCAATATATAAGTGTGCCCTAAAAGACCAGGGAAAACGAAGAGTGTTGCAAGTTGGCTGTTTACATGGCATGCCTGCACGTTTGGACGTGCAAATGCATCAGAAATCTACGATGTTATCTCGGTCACACAGAGCCTTGTTTAGAAGACAAGAAATGTTGGATTTATTGCAGGGTCGAAGACAGTCTATGGTATAGTCCTTTTGGCAGTATACACAAATGTAGTCGTGCAGACTATAGATGCTTAAGTTTTTTTCCAGTTTTTTTTCCATGCAGTGTTTAAATATTTCCCTTTTTATTATTTGAAATGCGAGTTTTTGGTAGGCTTAGGTAAACAAATTGTAATGATCTCCATTTAAATGAAAAGTACTGTGTAGTAATTGTTTTTTTCACAAAAAGAAAATTAAGCAGGTAGCTGCTAAAACCAAATTGGATTTATATCACTACTGGCTATCTGCTTAAAGCGTTTGTCTGCCCGGACGCAGCGTTATTATACCTTTAAACTGTTTCACAGTACGAAACGAGAATGACAAACGTCAAGACCCCGTTTAATTTCATTTCACCATTTTATTCATTTAGTCCGTGGCGCGTTTTGTCCAACATCCATGGCGTGATGGAATAGTTTCAATATCGGCTAGGACGGTGCGTCTGGCCGCTAGGTAATTAAGACTATTTACTCTGAAACATTGCTCGTACCAGTATACACAGGGACCCCACGCTGATAAACATATTCCGACCGGCTACATGTTACCGGCTTGGCATAATGCGAGCTTGGTAGGTGGTCTATAGCGTAGCTTTATCGTTTAGATGGGAAATGTATAAAGTTATGACAGATTTTATAGAACGATACACTTAATTGCTTGTATCCTGGTCACAGTTTCCAATACATATACTTTGAGTCGTTGACGTAAATACATGAACGTTCTCTATACTCTCCGTCAGTTACAATGACAACTGGTAGGTGGTTATTTAGTAGCGTGACTGTATCGTTTATATGAGCAATTTATACACTTATGAATGAGAACTATATGTCACTATATTATATATAACATGTGACACCCGGTTGTATATTGGGCCGTGTTTCCAATTCATAGTCTAAGTCGTAGACTGAACGATCACTAGGTTCCGGCGAATGGAATAACAATAGGTCAATGATCGCTGACGTGATCAACGCAAGAAGTATACGTCTTAAAAGCGCCGCACTTAAGGGCGCATGGAATATTGGGGGCGACACTCTTCCATTAGAGTTATGGATTCTATTATATTTTTGGTCGAAATCGGAGCAGGAATCTCTCGAATTACTAATCCAGTGACACTTTCTGAGTGTCGAATATCCACCAAAGCTGTTTAGTGTGACACAAGGGCCAAAAAATGCGCGGAAGAACCACGATTGCTCCTGATCAAAACAGGCAGCTTTTTCATTTACCAAATGTACAGCAAAGCCTCATCTTTCTTAATGATTTATTGCCGTGCAGATTGAAAACCTGTCTTACAGACAGTGACCTTGTCTTGCTCTGCTTCATGAACCCCTTCACTGTTGATTTCGTGGAAGCATCTTTTTATGATTTCTTAGAGTAAACGCGCCGACTGGACGGCGTAGTTTTACGCACTTCAAACTCGAGCCCGAGTAGACTTCGGAATCATGTCCTTGTATCTGGGGAGGCATTTAATAGGTCCATAATCCCCGGCGGGGATTTGCATTCACATTCTGCTGAAAGGGTTACGATGCGCAGATGAGAAAGGTCGATCTCTTTCCTGTCTTTATCAGACAGTGACTGGGAAACAACCCCGGTGCCTGAAGTGGAGTGGGGGAAGCGCGGTGAGGCCTAAAAAGTTTTAGGTTGATGTCTGTTTCGGTAGGCGTACTTAATAAATGCGATTGGTAAGATCTAAAGATATCATGTTTCCCACGGATAGAAGTTCGACATCAAGTCGTGGTTTTAATTCAGAGGGGGGAAGACGGAAGAAGAAATGAGATAAAGCACCGCTCAGTACAATTTTACCTTTAATTCCAGGACGGCGCTGGTCTGCATGAATATCGGGTCAGACATATGCGAAGTGACATGGAAATTACCGCGCTAATTCTTTGTTAGCGGGAGTGGGCGTTTGAAATCGTGACCCTGTTATCTTGCTGAAAGAAACCTTCGGTTGCTTTCAGACCCTCACGACAAGAACGAGGGACTATATAATTACCAAGTGTCACCTTTGAACCACCCCCAATCTCCCCTTCGTGATGATTGTGTTGATGATGTTCGTCATCGGAGAATCGGGTTGTAGGGCTAGCGATTCGGTGCCATACGTTGGCGCGTGTTTACTTGAAAGGAGACAACCCGTGTTATTGGCAAGAATTTATGTATATATGTTGTCATTATACCGGACGTGTTTTGGGTCTAGCTTAGTATGCAATCAGGGAGTTTGGATTCGATCGGAATCTAGTTTATTTACTCATCTAAGGAAGATATCGTTGTCACATGTAGGCAGAATTCCTTGTTTTCTTTTCACTTTTCCTCTTTTTGCGTGATTTCATTCACCAACGTTTTTATCGGGAACAAGAAATAATGCAGTGACAGTCTCAAACCAAACACAACTCGTTTGACGTAATAAGAGTTATATGATCACTATAGTCAGTAACTTTTGGTTAAGGAGCCCCTTTTGGGAATGCCAACAACTAATACATTAAATGAATTGCATCAAACGTCATTTGACCAAGGCGTAGCATTCTTGTGCCTACGATGTTTCTCCCCTTTATCTGTCTAGCCCGCATAATGTAGGTACTTTACCACTCATCACACCGAATCATTGGGTACTTTCCGATTTTTTTTAAGCCAGTTGCGCAAAAAACACTTTCTGGTCGGTTGGTCAAAGTACGAGCACATAAGAAAACTCCGGAAAATAAGCCTTAAAAGTGAGTAGTTTCCGGGAACATTTATCTACTTAAAAGACAGGGCCTCTTCAGTGCCTGAACAGCTGTCAGCTGGCCGATGGTCGTTCTTCGATTCCGCTCTCCCAATCGAGCAAAAGCTCAAAGATAAAAGCCGAGTTTCAAAAGTTTATTCTCTAGTGAGGGGGAAACCCGCCGTAAACAGATCGCCTGTTTCATCTCAATGTGTAACTGAATACATACAAAAAAATATGTACCGTTATTAACGACAAAATGACAGTGCGGAGAGTGGATGCTCACATTATGTAGCCGGTGTTTTGATATGAAGTGCCGTGTTCATTTTCAAAATCTGTCCACTCGACAACAATCAGAGTATCGGAGTATGTATTTGGTAACTCCTTCAGAATCGAGCAGAATCTTCGCACGTTATTCCTATAAACTGTCATTCTATATCAATCAAAGTTAAAGAAGCGTAAATCTTATCCTTCCATGTTTTGTATTCAACAAGAGGAAGTTTAACGATGGAAAATTATCAGTCTTTATGAATTACAATGTATCTCTTCAAGATACCTTGTGATGGTCATCGAACACCCAAGTTTTGCAGTCTGGGTATTCATAATATGAACAATAATGATACAATTGTGATAGGGCTTGTAACTAGTTCAACCTTTCCGAATTATGGTGAATCTGAATCTGACAAAAATTATGTTAAACGTAATTAGGCACGGCGGTCATTTCGCACCATATGGAAATAATACAAAGTTCTGATTCGGAATAACGTAATCCGTGGCAAGATTAGCCCCGTCTTTCTCTCGATCTAGTTTTGTTAGAAAAGCAAGCATAGTTATTTAATTAAGAATGTAAGTTATGTATAAAATATGGTCAAATGTATATATTTATGTTGGAAATGTAAGGGCTAACCCAGAAAAAAAAAGAACACGACGCAACAGTGAAACAGGTCAGGAAAAAAAATAAGTTCCGAAAAAAGTGCACATTAAACTTTGTAGATAAATCAACACACTTAAGAATGTGCGTATGTTATGGCTTGTAAGTTACAGTAAGTGATATAATATCTGTCTTTCATATGATAAACAATTGAACGATAAAGAAGAAGGAAAAATGGCGTTATTGGAATCGTTATAGTTTTCGTTGGAAACTGTAAACATTGCATATTGAGACTGCGTTGGTAATATGAGATTATGTATTCGCGTGGCAGTTTAAGGTTGTGGATTTTTCTTTTAAACAGCGGTTTGTATAAGCGACTGTGTTTATGTAGGGAGTAAATATTGATTAGGGTAAAATGAATGTCACTTTTCTTCAATTACAAACCTTTATAGGCCGCAAATAGTCTTGACTGCCAATTTAAAGGCAAATTTTGCTTGGGATGATTGGGGCATTCTATAGATAAGAATGAAGTGAAGCAATGGAAATGTTGAGAATGTGTCGTATACTTGTATATATCCATGTATATATCACATAATCTTGATAATGTATGATTGTTGTTACTTGGTAATGTGAATGGAGGAAATTTAATAGCATGGTGTGTATACGTAAACGAATTTCGAAGGAATGTGTTAGAGGATAACTTTATGTAAGCTTTTAAAGTATACAGAAAAGGAGTGTATATCGTGTGCTTTGGCATAGTGTATATTTGTATTTAAAAGTATACATAACTATATTTAAACCTATAGTTTTAAAAACACTAAGCATGCAGGAACCGTTGTTTTATTACTGTTGAACGTGACATCATCGCATTACAATGCCGTTGTAGTCTAAATGCACACGGTGCTGAATATGACAGGATTCACAGAATGTATAGTGTTTAACCCACTTTTACATTGTAACTACAGGGTAAGTAAAAAAAAAAAAGCAGAACCCAAACCCCCCAAAATATATGTGATGTTTAAAAAAAATATGTAGCACCAAGCATAAAAATGATAGATGAAAATGTAGCTTAAAATGGGGCTTTTAGATAAAAAAATAATAAAAATACTGAAATTGCCCAATCCGTTCAAAGAATATCACCATTTAAACGCAGTGACCCTAAAACCTGTTTCGTCCACACACACAAAAAGAAGCAGTTTATTGTGTATTCTGACTGTTTTGGAACAACACGGAAAATGACACAGAATACTTGTTTCAACAACTGCCAAAAACTGTAGTACACAATATCTTTATTAACAACCCTGGTTAGGCAAACATAAACAATATGACTTATAAAATCCACTTTTTTTAAAAGACGGGCCTTCTAATGGACTTTGTTGAATATTTTTTAACTTTTTAACTGAGGTTTTATCGCTGGTGATGTTTGAATTGTGACAACGATTCCTGAAATTGCATTTTAGGGTCATTGTGTTTAAATAGTGATATTCTTTGAACGGATTGAGCAATTTCAGTAATATTTCATCTAAAAGTAGCTTATGAAATT